AACGGTGTGGCCCTGGGTCCGCAGGTCGTCGATGAGTTCTCGGTTGAGTGTTGAGTGGTGGAGGCCTTTGATTACTATGCGGTAGGGCTTCTCCTCCTGCAGCTGGTATGAGTAGAACTCAATTTTGTGTTCAACCAGTATCTGTATGATGGTCCTGTATTTGGGCACATCATTGGCTAGGAGTCGCATAGTCCTACCTAGGTTGGATTTGATGGTCAAGTTATCCGCTACTTCGGATAGTAGGAGCCACACGTCGTTGATGGCTTCTTTCCTCCAGTGGGAGCATTGTTGTTGGCCCTTTTTTCGGGCACGGAGGAGCTGGTGCTGGCATGGGCGTCAGCGTTTGGCTGGGTGCCGCCCCCAACCTGAGGAGTCGCTGAGGCAGGCTAGTTCTCTTCTTGGACTGGGTTTATCTGCTCGGCCTCAGATTCGTCAGTATCCATGTCTTCCACTTTATCGGGTGGGGCCAAGAGTGCATATCTGTTGGAAGCATGAGTGCCAACTGGACTGGTGTCAGTCTTGTTCTGTTTTCGCCGCGCGGCAGGTGGTGACCTGCTGTCTAAGACTTTGCGCTTATCATTTTTATTTCTCGCCTGTGATTGGATCATTCGAGCCGCGGCTGCGGCGTGCGAATTGGGTTTGACGATATCTATTATACGCACTAGGGCGTCAACGGGGTCTCTATTTGCACTAGCACCAGCATGTGGGCTGCTGCCGGGGTCTTCGGATTCCATTAAAGGGTAAGAAGGAGAAACTGAAGTACTTCTTAAAGACATCAGCGCGGAGAATTTGTTGGCAGCTGTTGCTAAGCGGCTGTTAAGCATTGAGGTGGTCGGCGGCGTAGCGGCGTCAGCATTTAGTTGGCCTACCTCTTTAGTTCTAGACGACCCCTTTTTACTCATTGTGAGTATGTTGCTGTTCTCAGCACTTACTGGTTTGGTGGCTCTATTTGCATTGCCACTGACTGAGTGCGTGTCAGCACGGCGGTGCGGACGAATTCCTCAATTTTTTTTGACCACCCTATTTTTCGATTTGGTTCTATTTCACTTAAAACAAACTGCTTTTTCAGCAAGAAGTTTTGTTTTTATTTTTGCCGTTTTCGTGTTTTCCAATATTTTATGCCTTGCAATCTTTGTGCGGGATTGCAAAAGCCACGTTTGGCCGTTTGGGCGTGCACTCGAATTTTGATTTTCAATTTTATTCCGCGAGCACGTCCATTCACTTCGAACACCAAAAAGTGTCTCTGAAAATGATTTTGAAACTGATAGGACGGTTAACAAGCAACTTTCATACAACCGTGTCCCGCCAATTTACCACTGTTGCGGGTGGAATTTCCCAAGTTGCTGAAATACGTATTTATTAAGTTCTTATGTAGAGCTTTGAAAATAAGTTTGAAGCAAATCGGACACAACTAAAACTTCGCCCAAAAAATCTTTAAATCGCATTCCCCTCGAAGAAGTTTGAATTCTGCGAAAAGTGTGAAACACGTCTCAAATGATTTTTCTTATAGATCTCTGGAAATGAATTTGAGTGCGAAACGTCACCCACCAAATCTTTGACCTCCATTTTCACCAAGGAGGAATGGATTTTCCTAAAAGTGTGAGGCACCCCTCAAATGAATTTAAACAAAGATCTTTGAAAACAAGTTTGATGCCGATCGGATGGTAAACAAAAAAGTTACATACAAACGGTTTTCGCGATTTTTCCACACTTGCGGGTGGAATTTCCCGAAACCCCGTCTTAACGTGCGCCTACATCACATAAGGTAACTAAAGTGTAAATTTCAGCTTCCTAGCTCTTACGGTTTGGGCTGTGTGTTGATCACCAATCAGTCAGTCAGTCAGTCAGGACAAACAGTTTTATATATAGAGATTGATTGATCGAAGAGTTTTCGACGAATCTATAATATATAAATTTTGTTTGCCAATTATTTAATGCCAAAATATGCTCTCAATTCAGTAATTCCCATTGCTTCTTATAATAAGCAGCACTCAAAATAAACGGTTGTGTTTTTTTTATATAACTCAATTAATAATTGTTTTAATTTATATTTTGGCTACGTGCAAAGCTTTTGGAAGTTAAGCATTGCAGAAATATTGAAAACTTTAAAAATGTATTTTAAAAAAATCTAATAAACCTATCCGCAATAATGCTTTTATCAAAATCGGTAACAAAAAATGTTCTTATGTTGCAGAGTGTAACTATGCTTTTGAATGCATACTATTTGGTTGTATCCTGTCTTCACCATGTGATTGTCTTCAAATGTTAGCTTTCAGCATAAATTACTGTGCAGGCTCTTGAAAATAGGTGGATCAAAAGAAAATTGAACTTTCAGCCTTGGACACAAATTCTGTAAAGCATATCAGAAGTAAACTTTTATCAAATTCGGTGACAACAAGCTAAAAGATGAATAAGATGTTGCACACTATTCACTACTTTTAAATAATTTGGATGCTATTTATTATTTAAAGCCCTTCGTAGTCAGATAACAATTCAAGGAATATTGCAGAGCACAGATTAGTTTTCAATGATGAAATGATTCCAGATTCGATAACTAAATATGTAGCTGTATTATGAAGCACATTATTTAATTATTCTTATTGGAAGCTCAGTTAATGTAGAGTGAATGCTTTTTTTTATATTTAGCATTTTCAAGAATTTGGGGTTTTCTCTTGTTAAAGATTGCGCATACGCCACGTGGCACACGTCAGGCGCTTTTCACAAGACAATCCCCTGCAAAGCTGGCCATTAAATGTGGCGTTGAATGGTATCAGCAAACTGTTTCTCCCAGCAGCCCTGGCTATTTATTTGCTTATTTATTGTTGTTACCAATTTGGCATAGCTTAGAGCGAAACCGCAGTGTGCAGGACTTATCAGGGATAAGCATCGGCGTCTGCAGAATTGTCCTGGCTGCCAGTTGCAGCTTTTGTAATTACTTGTAAAGAACATCTTCGCATCCTTATCGTCGCTCCCATCCAGGATCAGTTTGAGTCCATGTGTGCGAGTGTTGAGGCCTTGCTGAGTTTATTAATCATAGCTGAAAATCTAAAATACGTTTTTTGGGATTCAATTCAGGGTTCAAGCCAATGCCACGACTAATGGTTCGGTATAGCAACTGTCTTCAAATCAAAACTTTTTTCGGATTCTAATTCCTATTTCTGTCTCTTTACATGCAGATTTGAAGATTTTGTGAGATATGCCGTTGATCAGGCTATTTTATAGTATAGTAATCTTGTAGTTTTGACGCTACATTGATGAAACATGGATTATCTTTATATCAAGTCGGATAATCTTGAATAGAGCATTTTATTATATTTTATTAATCTCAGTATAAATTTTTAATTCTCAAGATATATTAAACTATCTCAGAATTTAGTGACCCTTATTTTCTTTTAAGAATCTGCCAAATCTTCTCAACATCGGATTAGAATATGTACCACGTAAAACTTTAAATTCAGCAACTAAGAGCTTCCATATGTTCCTCCTAAATCATATAACTTCCATAGAGGCTTATTGGCTGTAAATATGAGTTTTTCTTAAAAATATTACGTATTTTACCACACGGCATATCTGCTGTATGTTTGGAATGGTATTGGTTCGCCATTGTTGATATTTCTGCTTGTATTTTGTCGCCTTTAATTTTAGTTGACGAATTTTTTATTGTTTTTCTGGTATTTTATGGCATTGGGACACTCATGGAGAACCGAAGAGATTAGCTTCACTCGGGGCGATTTACATTTGATTTGCGCTAAAATCAGAGCCCTTTGCTTGTAGATTTGTCGTCTTGCGTATTGGGAGGCAGCTGTTAATCCGACAGTGAAATTATATTCAATTGAAGAAGCCATTGGCTTTGGCGTTCATCGATTGGTTTGGTGATTGGGTTTGAGTTTGAGTTTGGGTTTGGGTTTGCTTTGGCGTTGGCGTTGGCGTTCCGATTGGGATTACTCATTTACGGCTGTGGCAACATCAAACGGATTTTCGCACTATCATCAGCAGTGTCACCAGCATCCACATCTATATCTACGAGGAGCAGCTCATTTATTCTCACCCGGACGCCAGTCTGGGCTGCTCAACAGTGCCCTTGAATATATGAGGAGGTTGAGTGCATGTGAAGTGGCAGCTTTCTGTGTGGATGCCACTCGACAGAGACACATGTGTCCGCCCTCTCGCATTATGTTACAATTTTGGCCATTTTGCTGACTGCTGCTGGTTCAGTGCTTGCCTCATCAATGGATATGTTAGAGTTGTTCCTATTATTTGGTTATTCAAATAAATTTGCTGCTGCGCCATTCGAATACACTCGACTCACACTCAATACACCCACACACTACTCTTATGTCTGATGAGAATGTGTGCACATAAAAGATAATGAAAGTGTTGGCCTGCCCCATGGGACCATTGCTGGATCGCTGCGCGCTCGTGCAAGTATGCAATGAAATTTTGTTGCGTGGACAGGTAGATTGCGCTCGTGTGTATGTGGGTGTATGTGCGTGTGTGTGAGTGTGTGTGGCAAGAGCACTCTAATACATGAAGTGGCTTTCACTTCCAACCGGAGGCTAATCTGCCTACATTGACTCACAATCTAGCTGCAGCAAATTAATTCACTTCACCGAAAGTGTATAAGAATATACTACATTTTATGCCTTCCTCGTGAGGACCTCCTTTGTCCGTTCATTCTATTTTAGTTGCAACCTTTAAGAAAATCTATCCCAACAATTGTGAATACTAAACTTATTTTTCAATTCTTTGATATTTCTATTCGCAATCTCTTTTTAAACAAAAATCATCTCTCTTAACTTGAAAACCTGTTCGTTTAAGAGGGCATTTTTGTATACAAGACATATACATATATTTAAACATAGCTGTAATTAAACAGAAGAACAAAATCTTCTCATTTTAAATGCATTTAATTTGATCTCTGATAATACATTAAATTCTTTTAAAATATAATCTAAAACCTTTTACAAAATTTAAACTGTCAGTTTAAGAAAAAAAAAAAACAAATCAAAATCTAAACAACTAACCCTTCTAGCCATATTTTAAAATCAATTGCGCCGGACTGGAGGAGTTTTGATGCGTGAAAAAAACTGAGTTAAATGGGAAGACTTAGATCTTTCAGTTGGAGCCCGAGTATACTGCCTGGTTGGGGAAGGTGATGGTATCCGGGTCCGCCTTATCGGGCTTGTAGTTACCGTTTGTGTGCAATGACTGGTACAGGAAGTGCTCTGTAGAGAGGTCGAGTAGGTAGATGCCTCCTTATAGGATTTCTTTGGAGTGCTCCCGAATGAATACGATTTTTTAACATTGAACTTCGACGAACTCGGCTTACTTAACATATCATTGAATAGGCTATCATATTGCTCGAGATTCTTCTGTAAAGTTCTGGCTGCAAGTAAATTGTCCATGCTCTCTTCGAAGCGTTTCTGATTTAGTTCCTGTTCAAGTAGTATATCGACGCGAAGCTTCTGTAAATTTCCAACTGCTTACATCAATGGACCTTAGCTGTAGCTGGGTAACTACTTACATTCTGGTAACGCTTTATCATTTGTAGGGCAAACATGATTGAGAACGTTAAAATAGTGAGTAAAAGCCACAAAAACTGATGATCATCCAGTCCCACAGCCCGACAACCACCAATCGCCTTTACAAGAAACCAGCACGAAGTCGGCCAGCCCCGACAAGTGGGCGACATCTTAATGGCTGTCTCGGTGCTTATAACCTCCTTGTAAGTCCACATTGTGGCAAATTTCAAACAGTTACAAATTTTTAAAAGTTATGAAAATTTATTCTGAGGAATAAGCAGAAATTTAAAAAAGGATATGTTATCCTATTTCTGGAAATATTAAACAACACATTTGTAATAAAAAAAAAATGCAGGATTATTTGATAGGTAAGCACACAGATATTAAATTTAATTTCAAGGCCTACTGAGAACTGAAATCGTACGAAATATTTACAAAGCTGTGGTTTGTTTATTTGTATTCTCATCGCTGGTTTCGACATAGATTTACTTATCTATTTGTTTATTTATTTAATTTGAAATTTTATTTACATAATGTTTGTTTATGTGAATAACTTATTAATTTGATTACATGGCAATTCTTTCTTAGCTTTAAGCCGACACAAAGTTCTACTTATGATGCGTTGTCTGGTTTTATACCCAAAATTAAGATTTGCATGCTTCCTTCTATACATTACTTATCAGGTTTAAGAATCATTTCGATAAGTTAATATGTATACTTTAAGTAACTTTTTTGATTCATCTTTTTTATAATTAATCGAGTTTTTGCATGTTCTGTATTAAACTGTTAAAAGGCAGAGATAATCATTGGCAATCTCAATACAGCCATCTACTTACTTTGTCTTCCCAGTGAAAGTACACAAAAACATTTTCTGGGTTCTTTGCTCACAGTGCGTCATTTATTGCACAAGTATTTTCCGGCTATTTTTCAAACCAAGCTTTCAATTCCGTCTACTGCTGCTGCATTCGCCCTCTCACTCCCACACTCTATGTGCGTCTTTGTCGTAGACTGCTCAGTTGCAATTCCATTTTGGCGACTTTGGACTGCTCTGATAGCTTTTGCAAGGCAAGGCAAACGCGAATATTTTACTAAATAAATTGAACGCTGCGTGAAAAATTTGTTTTTGCCGCTTGCCACAGGGTAATGGGAGGGGGCAAAGGGGCTGTACTGAGGGGCTGATGAAAGTAGCGCGACAGCCATGAGAAAAATGGCAAAAAACTTTCATTTTAGCAAACAAAGCTGCAATTCTAATAAAGTCATGCTGTGTGACATGCAACGAGCCAAACTATGTTGTTGTCAAGCTAACTGTGAATATGCATATGCCCGATGATATCTAGGTGTGTGTGTGTGTGTGTGTGTGTGTGCGAGCGCGTGTGTGTTCCGCATATTGTGACCATATTTGAAACATCTCTTATCCTGCTGCTGGACTCAGCTTTTTTATTGTACTGTACCGTCCGTACGTGCGCTCATATTTCACAGCTGCCACAGATTCGCCATTTCATTCTCATAACAAGACAACGAAAGAGGCATCATAACATGACTCCAAGTGGCAGCCACTATGAGCCACTTCCTGCCACATTTTTCTATTAGGCCCACTTCCATTGTGGCCACAAACAAGTTTCCGCCATTGTGTGCGGCGCATAAATACTTTTGGAGTGCCACATGAATTTTGTAGGTGCCGTTTGCCAAAATTGAACCAGCTGCCACGCCTACCAAGGCATATTCGGGCCATAAATGCGATTTCATTTGCATCTGACAAATGGCATATTGCGGTTGCACTTACAACTTCTCAATAATCTGCACAAACCTTGTCATATGAACACACAGACACATACGAAGAAGTGAGCTTTGCCCTTACCAGTCCCTTTAACCGAAAACCACAAGGTCGGTAATTTTGCCTTTTACGGCTAGCTTGAAAGTATGCAAAGGTATTCCAACCAAAGGCTTGGCGATTTTTCCAATTTGCCACGCCTCCAGGAAAGGCAAAATGTTATTTAATTGGATAGGAGTTGTAAGAACAGGGGGCGGCGCTCATCAGTCGATGCTCTAAGGCTGTACAGGCAAGAGGTTTTCTCGACTGTCTACGGCTCCATAGTAACTATTTGCTGGTAATACGTATTGCTGATGATTATCATTAAATTAATGTTGCGCCAGGCAAACGAATACGCTGGAATTGCTGATGTACAAATAAATAAAATACCAAGAAATGCACTGACCTGAACGCACGGCATGGTAAATTAATTGAAACTGAAAACCATAGGACACAGCGTATACACTGCATAATTCAAATTCCACTTAGAATACTTAAAAGCTAATGTGGATTTCTACACCCACTTTCAAATATAGCGAGTAAACAATACAATTCTGTACATTCGTGTACTCCGAATCAAACTAAAATATGGAATTTGCATTTACGGCCCACTTTGCAAATTTGGGGAATTCAAAAAACTCAATTTGCTGGGGCCTATTAAAACATAGATTATGCAATGAAAATCATTTTGGCTCAGACAATTATCTATGTTCATTATTAAGCGGTAAGTGGGCAGCTGTTAAGTATATTTATTAATACGGGCGTAATTGATCGATATGCAATATAGACTTTTATTGCAAATATAATGAGAATCCGTGGTATTCAAAATATTTATTGACAATCGGTGTAAGGTATTTTTGATACATTTAGTACTTTTGCTAATACCAGTCGAGGGTGTACAAATAATGCGGATTTGTAAAAAGTTACAGTCCCAAAAAGTCACAAAAAATTTATGCTCAATTATAGACGCATTTGCTCATTTCAATCGTAACGACGGTAATTAAAGGCTATGGGCAGCGCGGCGTATGCGTGATATTTGTCATGCTCTTTTGCTCAATTCATAAAACCGCTAACATTTTTAATTTGGCCATTCAATTTCTGGCTTAAATGATGCTGGTCACGTACACACATATATATATATATATATATATACACATGTATGCATATCTAACATATGCAAGCTTATACATGCAACATGGTGTACTTGCTCGTAAATTTACTGTTCTGTTGCCCCCGTCTCATTAATCATTGAGTTTGCCGTAATTCAGCATAGGACATCATCAATAACAGCTGTAAAAACAATTAAGCCATGGGCAATGCTCGACAAAATGCAATTAAATGCCAAATTCCGAATCATGAAATCCCGAGAGTTTTATAACTAAATTCGATTCGTAAAAGTCTACCCCACAAAGCGCGAAAATGTTTGGGAAAACTATAGCTAGATATATATTTAAATTGATTTAAAACTTAATTAACTCTATATTTTTGCATTTTTTCTTGCAGCTGTCTACTTTGATACTTAACAACTTGTGGGATTAAGGTAAGATCAACAAAAAATTAGTATTTTGTATGAATTGTGTACACGCCTCCTTAGATGATTTGGCCTCTCTGTACACAGGCTTGAACCCATGTCCTGAATCATGACAACTAGTTTGAACTACAGTAAAATATTAAGGATCCCCTGTTATTAGACTTCCAACAATTGCAGACTAGTTTCGATCCTACCCATATACCTTATTAAATATACTAGATAGGAGGTCGGAGGTCCAGACATTCTTTACTTTCTAACAAGGTGAATTCAAATACTCGATATTGGTAGATCGGTCAGTAGTTTCTTCAATTGCGTGGCACTTTTACTCATCGAAAGCTTAAGTCTGTCTAATATATACGAACTCAGATTAGGGCCAGAATCTGTTGCCTTTTGCAACTCCAAACTTCTTTTATCTTTAACAGCTGGATGAGACGCAACGCCTGCGACTTTAATGAAGGTAGATAATTTAAATATGGCCAACTTATCGTGCTGATAATTTAATGCGATATGATATAATACGGTATATACGGTATGATATAATACGATATAAAATATACATATAATCCGATATGCACGCCGTCTGCACACAGTTCATAAACAATTTTGTTGAAATCAGAGCGGCAAAGTAGGCACACGTGTCTTGATTTCACGCGGAATGAGATTAAAACCCGTGTGTTCTCGTCGCCGGTTTGATTTCAAGTGAACGCTTGACGATCGAGTTCGCTTCAGAGGTAGATTTGTTTTCTACGATACGTAATCTGTTAACCATTGCCGATCAAACTAAGGCTTAGGTCTCTGGGGCAGCTTTTCAGCGCTGAAATGAATTCTTGGGATTCCGAGTAATATGGGGCTTGTGCCGCAGATGGCATGCGCCGAGTCTTAATATTCAGCTAAAGATTGTTGACACCAAATCTCATACAGTGGGCGATTGAAATATAGCTTAAGTTTTTGAGACGGATCCCGTGTCCCAATTTAAGATCTTGGTATGAGCCATGTGTTGAAAGCTGAGCATCAAAAGGAGCACGCACAATCGATTCCCTGATCGGCGATACCAAAGCCCAAGCTGGTCCCTGTTTTCCAGCCGATGCTCCTTGTGCCAGCAGTTAATGTTTATATATTTTATTTCCTGATTTCGAAGTCGACGGTGTCTTCCAGGAACTCTGCCATGTCGAAAGACCTATTTAGTATTTGGATAAAAATTAATTATAAATAGACAATCAAAAGTACAATTGTTATAAAGCCTTGATATACATGATGACAGCAGCAAGAGAGTCGATTTGTTACCTTAATGCGAGTTGCCTCGACTACATATTGTCTCTCACGACTGGCGAAAGTTATCGGACGAGAGTTTAGAGATCCTAAAACGATATCATGCTAACAACGATCGACAAATTTTCCAAACTAGCTTCTACTTTTATTACTTTCATGCGACTCCAATTACACCAGAAGGCAGGAAATAAGCGAACCGCATCATTTCCGGGCTTACAGCTCTGGTTTCCTACCTACTTCCTAGGCTCTCTATAGATTGGTTTGTAGGTAGTTCGGTTGGCTTTTGACACTCCGACTATGTATTGAGTTTAGCATTTCGTTCGTGCTTAAGTAGATGGCTTATGAGTTTTTACTTAATAAACGGATTCTCTGTTGACCTACATACTGCAAGCTCCAGTCCCATGCAGCGTGCAAAGATTAGACGGATTCCACTGCTGGTGATGCACTGCAAGTCATTAATTGAAGCGCTTCTGTGTGCTGACTGTTGGCGCTCGGTGTGTGCACGCGGTTAGATTGAGAGATTGTCAGACCAGTCAATGCGACTGCCTTAACGCAAAGTGCCAATCAAAGAACGCTGCATCGCATACAGAGTCGCCTGTACAGGCACACGCATTCAACGGCATGGAGGTACGTACTATCCAGGGTCGAGCGTGTAAGGAGGAGGAAGAGGAGAAGGGGCGGGCTTACCTGTCACTCCAACTCAATCCAGCTCAATCACCTGGGGCCCTCCGACTCGGCATATTGCAATTTTCACTGCCACTTCAGCTCATTTAACGCCAACGACGTCGACGCTGCCTTCTCTGATTGACAGAGCATTGAGGACAAAGCCAGCCAGTGACGGTGTTTGCAAGAAAAGGGGGTAGGGCGTGGCGGGTGGGTGGGCGAAGCTGTGGCATGGTTGCACACAAAGCCTGTGGCATTTCCTTCACAACAGCCCGCAAGCCCTGCTGAAAAGCGTAAAACAAAACTTTCAACATGAAATGACATGCCGATTAAATTAATGCATTGCCTACCGCTATAACGGAGGGTCATGGCGGGTGGGACAGGGGGCTAATAAAGCGCTGATGCCGCTGCCGTTACCAGCATTGGCATCATAAAAACTTTAAGATCGAATCGCTTGAGCCCCACGCTCGTAAGTATCGCAAAATCGGTTGGGCCGACATCGACACCTGCGACCGAAAGCAGCAAACAAATTGGCCCCCGCACGTGGGTAGACCAACAAAGGCATCAACTGTCAGCACCATGTGCACGTAATCATAATAAATGACATTGGATCCCGTAAGCGGATACTTTTATTTAATTATGCACCCATGGTATTGACCCCACACAACGCACACACCAAACAGCCAACCGCCCGCAATCCGGCCAACTCCAACTCCAACTCCAAAATCAAACTCAAATTCATGTTGGGGTCAAGGCCAAATGTGTTAACCAGTGCCCCCAGCACTTAATTTAATCAGAGCCGAAAGCCGTTCATACAACAGCCCCATTGCAAATAACAATTTGCTATTATAAAAGAAAAATTGACGCACAAACAGTTATTATCCGTTAAAAGATTATTGTAAAAATTCGACTTGATTAAATTTCTAGGAACGCACGGACTATCGACCGAAGTGTCTCCTCTTAATTGTACGTCAAGCGCATGGTAAATATACAATGCAGGTTAAATTTACAATGTATGGAATTAATGCGAATGTGAGACCTGATTTATTTAAATGATTTAAGTTAAAGTTTTAGTTAATTCAGTTTAATTTAACAATGCATGTTAAATGTATAGTATTCAACTTGACTGCTTTAAACTGTTAGCTAACAAATAATCTTAAATGAACAAAATGAAGCAAACAGATGTCAACACCTTACATTGTAAATAAACAATATGATAACCCTACAATGCACATTTACCATGCTGCTCATTAACAATGTATATACACTTTGTCCTACTAACTCTCCAGATGGTTTGGAATGACTTTTTGGTCATGGTTTGTCGAAAAAGCATCTACTTTATGAAAATTAAAGTTTTCAGTATTAGGGGATGATCCGCCTAACTTAAAGCCCCAAACACAATTGGAAATTTTATACATATTAGTATTTGTTACAATTTCAAAAGTTTCAAGATCATTGTTAAATCTTAGCATTGGTCCCCTTTTAAATTATCACACTCTTTCAAGAGTGAAACCCAAATAATTTCCATTCGAATGGCCACACACATCGTTGCTAACCCTATGAATTTGTCAAATATTGTCAAACTGGACTAGTAAGCTATTCTTTGACTGTCTAGAAACTGTATCATGAAATAAACTATTTAAGCTCCATAACCCCTTTTTGTTATTATGTGTCATGTGAATGTGTTGTACAATGATTCGGTCGTTTATTTCTGTTCTATAATCTGAGACAGGCACTCTGTCTGGCATGGACTTGGTCTCAGCTCTGGGCCTGAGCCTGGGATTCAATGGAGTTTGCAAGGTGAAAGTTCTCAATGTACAATGTGCTCTTAATGCTTACTTCCCAACTGTTTGTTGTTGTCAACTTAAAGGCTGAGCTTTGTTTGTGTATATTTCTTTATTCGACAGTGCTTGCCAATGTGTGTGGGTGTGTGTAGTTCGAAAAGTTTGTAATTTATTTTTAATACTCTTGGAATTTGTGTTTCTTGCTTTTTGTTATAGTAAACAATCCCCATTTGCACTAGTCTCTCGGCTAGCGATTTTTAATTACACTCATAACAAAAACATTTCCATAGAAATTTCTAACTTTCGACTGCCTTAAGGGCCTCAGCAGAACCAGCAACAGGAACAGCAAACAAAACAAATACAACAAAGCACTTATTTTCACAAATTTATAATTGAAAGTTGCTCCCTGGTTTTTAAATAGTTATGAGTATCTTAAAATTATTCAATGTGCCCAGAAGCTAGCTCAAGAATTACTCAAGTAATTTTGATATTTTTGTGCCCAGCAATGCCAAGTTTCTAAATCCCGCAAATTTAACGCTTTTATTGGGCCTAAATAATTGGTTTAGCACTGACATATCTAAACATTAAATACATGGTTGTTCGAATCTAATGTACCTAGAGACACTTTTAATTTCTTCTTGATATTAAGTTGTCTTGAGAGTACCTCTAGTTGTTTTCCATTTGGGACAAGAACTTAACTATCAGTGCGCTCACAATTGTGATTTAATTTCAGATAAAAAATAATATAAATTGCTTGTAATATATAACGTATGTAAGCGAGCTGATGTCCGTGTAGCGTCAAACGGAGCACGCGCTGGTCCCGGCTCTATGACGTCAGCTGGGGTGGGTTAACTAAAGTAACGCTGTGCTACCTACTCGCAGACGACTATTTCTCTAGGAAAGATCGACAGAGTTAATGAAATGAGACTTGGTTGATATGGGGACAGTAGCTGGTGTTGTTGTTGCTATGCTGGGCTGGGGTCACTGCGACAACTGTTGCCCACCCTACCATGATCACCATGGTCGATGATCCCTTAAACAACACGAAAACAAGGCAAATCAGCACATGATTAAAATCAATTTACAAGTACTTGTATTTGCGAAGAACTTCATAAGGAATTGAGGAATTAAGTTGAATTTTAAGCTAGGCATAATAAAGTCTTAATACTATGAAGAAAACAATGTAGTTTTCTGAAAATTATAAGATATATACATGGATCAAGAAATTTTAAATACTTAATTCTCAATTAAGTCATGACAAAATGACATTCTTTTATTTTTTTTTCTAATCGG